TGATTATTAACACAAATATTTTTATGACTTATAAGCTGTCTTGCTGTAAAAATAGTAGAGCAAAAATTCATACGTACAAGAAGAATGTCCAATCTTTTCTCCATTAATAATAACAAACTCTTTTGTTTGTCTAAATAAGTATACGTTTTTTTTGCTACTTTTTGAACAGGCAGATTACCATAAAAAATAGATAACTTTTTAATCGCTTGTAATTTTTGTGAAAATTCACCGGCCTTGTTTGTTTTTTTAGGTACTCACGCAAGGACCTAAACCTTCAGGAGACAATTCAATTAAATTCGAGATCGTGGGAACTGGGGAAATAACACTCTGGCGAGCCTCAAGTTATATCGCCTTTACTGGCCAACATTGCTTTGCAGGCTCCAATAAAATTTCACTATATGCGGGAACGTGCTCTGGCCTTCGGCCCCGGAAAAAAGCAAAGGCCGTAGGCTCGCTAGCTGAAGAGGGCCGAAGGCATTGTAAAATGCAATGTGTTCGTCTTTGTAAAAAGCGACCGACCCTCAGACCAAGATGATGGCGATTACAGTTGCTCACTGATCCATTGTCTACTTACTTTCAGATTTTGTCTTTGATGCTGAAGAAAATACCCCTTTGTCGAGGAATTTCGCTTGTTTCCCAAGGGAAGTCCTGTGTTGATTTGATAAATATTAGAACCCGTGTCTTCGCCATGAAAAAGCGATGTCCTATACCCCTAGACTGCATCTGCACAACGCAGATTTCATTCTACGACATAGAGACAACTCCCTTAGGTTATGAATATCGGTGCATGTCAAAGCAGAGGCCTCAGAAGTCTGGCTAGCGCCCTGCTTAGTCCCATTCGTCGAGCGTACAACACACGAAGAAGTGTTCGTCGAGCGTACAACACACCATTTATCGTTGATTACCCAAATCGCCGATTTTGTCAAAATCAATGCGGCAGAGGCTCGATGCGGACCCTGTTTTTGCCGATGTGGTTATTAAAGAATGTTTAAACACAAAAGAGATTGATGTTGCCTGTTTAGAAGTGGATTCGAACCACTCTTTGAACAGGAATATATGGCAAGATAATTCGAAGAAACTTTTTGAGTTCTTTTGCAATATCAAGTCAATCTGTTCCGAAAATTGCAGAGTTTCAAGCTTCGGCCGGCACTTCCAGAAATCCGGTGGACGTAGATGATACATTCAGGACCGCTCTCTTTCGAACAACCGAATAAGAAAATCCCAGAGGAAAAGGCACCTAAAATGAAAGTGAGATAAACAACCACAAAAAAAACTAAAATTCCTCGAACTTGACAAATTCGTCTCTTCGACCCTCAACAAAGCCAAATTCGACACGGAAACTCCCCGTCGACAAAAACCGGCAACCGGCGAACCCTATGGAAGATGAAAGCTTTAGACGCAAGATATACTCCGTGAGGTGGTTACATGGACGACTCAAACGACGCCTTCGGCGCCTTCGGTCGGGGACCCGGCTCTTGCTTGATGGCCTCCAAACGTTCGATTTCATGGTCGCAAACGGGAGTCAGGTGAGTTTGGCGACGAGTCGCTGCGGCGCCCTAAACCGGATCAAGTGACCAGTTTCCCCCGTGGACTTCCAGGCAACCTCCCCTCAGACCAAGATGATGGCGATTACAGTTGCTCACTGATCCCAGCTTGTATTCATTCAGTCATTTCATTTCGGTTGAATTCTTGGACCTTGTACTGATTTATTTTGGGAGACATGGTTCAAGCCCGGACCTATCAATTTCTAGGAATAAGTAAAACGATGAGGGCCCCTAAAAGAGGCCACTTGATAAGACCACTCAGATTGTCAAATAATGGAGCACAAATTTGTAACACATATTCGCAAGGTGCCGCGTTATAAAAAAATGAAAAAATGCTTTGAAGGAATTGGAATCATGTCGTTCAGCCACTACATAATCGAGTTCTTTACGAAACCTAATAAGTCAATAATATGATAACACATATCAACATTTATCTTGAATTACTACGACCTTCTTATTTTATGTTATACGACTTCCCAAGCCAGCAGTTTAGGTGTCGTCGGGTCAACGGTCGCGTAGACCGTAAGTCAGTCCACTGGCATTATGGCAAGCCACGCATTATTGTTGACTCGAGAGGATGTCGCCATCCAACAGGCAGCCCTGCAGGAGGCACAACTACAGCGGGCATTAGGAGAGATAAAAGCGGAGAAGCAGAAGATGATCAGAAGAAGAGCAAGGATGCAGCGGAGAGGGGCAGACATAGAGGAGTTAGAAACGATGGACCAGTCGAACATGGATGCTGATGTGAGTGTAGTTAGGAAGGCCCTGCTAGGTGTAATAGAGATGCAAGAGCATCAAACTACCATCCTTTAGGATATCCAACAGAGCCTAGCCGTTTTGGTAGGCCGTGCGCAGGCAGCACCATCACCAGTCGGGCCTGGTGCCTGGCCCGTGCCATATCCTCCTTTTTCTGTCCCACCGGTGACTACGGTATCCCCATATGTAGCCCCGTCATCGGTTGCTATCATTTCCCTGGGCATGCCGCTGTCAGGAGGGGTAACAGCAGGGAGTAGTTTGCAGGTTTCTGTACAGACAATGTTTACTCAAAGTCCGTCGCAGGTTGCAGTGATGGCGCAGCCTGCTATCTCCCAGCCTGTGCAGCCTCAGGGCACACAGCCCCAGCAGCTAGCACAGCAACCTGTGTCACCGGGTCCACAGCCCGGAGTGGTGCAGGGACCGGGACAAACTCAGTGGGTTCCAAAGACGGCCATCGCCGCTCCCAAACCTTTTACAGGGGATAAGAGGGGCGAAGACCTTGACACGTGGTTGAGGGCAGTGCCGGTCTACGTAAGGTGTAAACTCACCTTGCCGCACGAAGAAGTGCTTGTGGCTGCTTCCTACCCAGAGGTTAGTGCAGCAAGATGGTTGAGTGGTTTAGTACAACTCCAGGGATATGGTCATGACTTCCACGCCTGGGCGGCCTCCCAGAAATTGGAGGACTTCCTGAAGATGGTGGAAGAAAGGTGGCATGATCCTCAGGAGGCCCAAAGGGCCACTGATGCGATCCTGACACTGCACACAAGGCAGTTTAAGTCAGTAAGGGAAGCCACCGACGTTGTTGAGCGTCTGATCTGTGTCCCAGGGGTGCGCTATGACCCCCAGGTCCTGCTGACTTCGTACTTGAGATGTTTTTCTCAGCCTCTCAGGAACCAGTTGGCAAAAGAGGCCAATATCAATATGCACAACTTCCCTTCGTTCAGCAAGGTGGCCCTAGACCTTGAAGCTAAGATAGGGCATGGACAGGCACCCACTACGGATGGGAGGAAGAAGACACTGCCTCCTAACTGGAAAGCGAAAGGTCGCTTGATGTTTGTCGACAACGATGGTTCCACCATCGAGTTGGACGACAACTTCCAGGAAGGAGTAGGTTCAGAGGCAGGCAGTGTAGACGCTTCATAGGGTGGAGTAGTCGCTACTGTATCTCAAAAAGGAAAGGTGACCGGTAGACACCGCGGAGGCTCCTGGTCTAGGAGTCAAGTTGACCCCAATGCTCCTCAATGGGAAAAAGCGGGTCTTACAGAGGACGTGTGGAGAGACCGTTACTCACGGCAGGCCTATATTCGTTGTGGTCAATATGGCCACAGCCAATTCAAGTGTCGCAACAAGAAAGTGACGGAAAAGATCCCGCCTACGATGGGGCAGGTGTTGGGATCCTCTCAGCCCGTTGGTGGCAATGTTGCCAATACTTCAGGCAGTGCTCTAGGAAACACGTCGGGCCAGTAGGAATAGTAGTTGTTCCTGCAAGGGTCGAGGTGGTGAAGACACCCTCACCATCTCGAGAGATGGCCCAAGCTATTGACTCCAGCGTCGTCCCGCAAGCACATTCAGACCCATCGAGCCTCTGTTCGATGAATGTGTTTGAGTCCTTAGAGGAGCTAGAGGTGGAGTGGTCTAGATCAGACCCGCTAGCTTCTTGGACGGCACGAGTCAAAGCCCCAAAGGGTGAGATGTTCGTCAGCGAGGTAGTCATTGGCGGCCGCAAGGCTGGGGCCTATTATGACACTTGCTCGACTAGGAACTTTATTAGTCGCGCGTGCGTTGAGAGGCTGCGTTTACAGGGGCGAGTGCAGCGCCTGAGTCGACCTGTGCCAACAAACAGTGCATGGTAGTCAACGACTACCTCCAGGATGTTGAGTGTTGTTTCCCGTACGCTGGAGGGGACTTGAGGCATCATGTCTCGTTCCTCGTAAGTGACGAGCTCCCAATGGACATGTAACTATATATGCACTACCTCTCTGTAGCACATCCCTAGTTTGACTGGGACCGAAAAGTGGTCAAACACACTTTGCCAGGTGGAGGGACCGCCAGATTACGTAAGTTCAAAGCTAGTAGTCTGATTGAGTCCTATGGGTGCATGTGTGCGGCCGCGTTCTACAATTATTATAAGCAAAATGAGGAGGAGGGTATGTATTTAGTCTATGTCTCTGCTGCAGGCGAGCCAGTGAAAATGTTGTCGGAGATAAAGGGAGTAGTTGTTAAGTACCCTGATCTATTTGAAGAGTCGACATGGGTTGTTGAGAGGGAGGTCGTCCACGCGATAGAGATTATCCCAAGGTCTAGTATCCCGAAGGGTACGATCTATCGGATGTCCCCAGGCGAGCTTGATGAGCTTCGCCGCCAACTCAAGGAACTCGTAGAGAAGAGTTGGATCTGGCCGAGTGTCTCTCCTTATGGGTCTCCAGTTTTATTCGTACCTAAGAAGGAGGGTACTCTTAGGATGTGCATTGATTATAGGGGCCTCAATGTCATTTACTGTAAAGAATAGAGAGCTCCTACCGCGCATCGACAACCTGTTAAATAGAGTGCAAGGGTGTCGATACTTCAGTAAGATAGATTTGAAGTCCGGGTACCATCAGATTGCAATCGGGCCCGAGGATTAAACCGCTTTCCAGACCAGGTACGGTCTGTACGAGTTTGTGGTGATGCCTTTTGGCCTTTGCAATGCTCCTGGCACCTTTCAGCACGTTATGAATCGGATATTCCATGACTACTTAGATACGTTTGTCATCGTGTACCTCGATGATATACTTATTTTTAGTAAGACTATCAAGGAGCATGTTGCACATTTGGACAAAGTCCTCAGCCTCCTCCGAGAGCACAAGTTCAAGATCAACGGTGAGAAGTGCGAGTTGGTCGCACCCGTGTCTTGTACTTGGGTCATGAGATTTTCGCAGAAGGGTTGAAGCCCGATGACGCGAAGGTGGCCAACATTTGTGATTGGCCACGTCCTCAGTCTGTGACTGAGATGAGATCTTTCTTGGGAATGACAAGCTACTATAGGACTTTCGTTAAGAACTATAGCATAGTGGCCGCTCCTTTGACTGATGTGACCCGCCTTGACAACCCATGGGAGTGGACAGATGAGTGCGAGGCTGCTTTCAGACATCTGAAGCATGCGTTGACGCACTACGAGGTCTTGAAGCTTCCTGATCCTGACAAGCCGTTCATAGTCACCACGGATGCCAGCCAATATGGCATTGGCGCCGTGCTCGCGCAACAGGAGGGGCCAAAGTTGAGGCCAGTAGAGTACATGTCCAAGAAAATGCCATCTCAGAAATTGGCTAAGTCCACTTATGAGAAGGAACTCTATGCGGTGTACAAGGCTCTCACCCATTAGAGACACTATCTCCTTGGGAGGTTCTTCATCCTCATGACTGATCATCAGACCCTGAGATGGATGAGAACCAAGCGGGTGCTCTCTGACGCTCTCAAGTGTTGGATCAAAGTCATTGAGCAATATGACTTTGACCCTCAGTATCTCAAAGGGGAGTACAACAAGGTTGTTGATGCCTTGTCGCGCAGACCGGACTTCTCAGGTGCGCTGATTACTAAGTTCGATCTGACGGACAATGTTACTCAATCTCTAGTGGAAGCCTATCGCGAGGACCAGTTTATGTCTGAGATCATACGCAGACTTGAGGCGAAGGACAAGAAAACTTCCGCCGAGTTTGAGTTGGTCAATGGCTTGTTGTTCTTGGAGAAGGCAGGGAATAAACGCTTGTGTGTTCCAAATAGCGAGTCTTTGCATAGTTTGTTTTTAGGTGAGTGTCATGATGCCACCGACCATTTTGGGTATAAGAAGACCGCAGCCAACTTGCTGCAGCGGTTCTGGTGGCCCACGATGATGCGAGATGCCCAGCTGTACGTGGAGACTTGTCAAATTTGTCAACGGGACAAGCCACGTACTTAGGCTCCTCTTGGGCTTCTGAAGCCCCTTCCGATTCCGGACTGGCCTGGTGAGAGTCTGTCCATGGATTTCATGGATACTCTGATCACCAGCGAGAGTGAGATGCGTCACATCTTCGTCATCGTGGATAGATTTAGTAAGTATGCTAGGTTAGTAGCTATGCCGGAAACAGCAAAGACGGAGTACGTGATCCGAATGTTCAAAGAAAACTGGGTTAGAGACTTTGGTTTACCGAAGTCTATTGCCAGTGACAGGGATGTCAGGTTTACCAGCGAGTTGTGGAAGGCCGCTGCTGCAGAGCAGGGCACTCAGTTGCAAATGACTTCTGGGAATCACCCAGAGGCCAACGGCCAGGCCGAGCAACTGAATCGCGCTGTACAACACCTGTTGAGGCATTACATCAAGCCCAACCAGGTGGACTGGGATGAGAAGCTTGCACTCATCGCCAGTCTGTATAACAATGCGGTACACAGTGCCACTGGGGTGAGCCCGAACAGTTTACTACTGACTTTCAAGCCTAGACTACCCCTTGACTTTCTCCTTCCTGAGAATCAATCAACTATTGCACCGGGTAGAACAGATGCAGAAGGCTCAGGCAACAATGATAGAGTCTGAAGACAGACACCGCCGGCCTTCTACATTTCAGGTTGGGGATAGGGTATGGGTTAAGTCTTCAGAACTGGGACAGGAGTACGGGATTTCCCGCAAACTCATGCCCGAGTACTTTGGACCTTGAGAAGTCTTGGACATCGTCGGGACAGATCCGGATGGGTCATCTTACGTTATCCGGATTCCTAGTCATCTTCGTACTTACCCAGTATTTCATCCCTCCAAGCTTGCACCTTTCAAAGAGACTGATCAGTTTCCATCTCGTCGCTCAATGCTGCCCCCAACCATGGACGGAGAGGTGGACATCGATGATATTGTGGATCACAGAGAGCTGTCAGTATCAAGACCCGCAGGCAGGGGACGTCCTCCAAAACCGAAGCTGCAGTACCGCGTTCGGTTCCGGCATCACACAGATCCGAAGGAGGACCGCTGGTTCACCAGGGAAGAGCTCATGCAGACCGCTCCTCAAGTTGTAACGCAATACGAGAGATCTCTGCAGAACGGAAAGCGCCTTATGATTGAAGACTGAGCTTCTCAGAGGACTGCTGAAGCTAAGGAGGAGGGAATGCGAGGCCATTGCCTCTATGAGCCCCATATGCCCCATTTTTGCAGCCCGTCGGACGCCCTAAGTGAAGGCAGGCTCGACGAGGCCCTCAGGGCCCTTTTCTGGCCACCACGCAACTCAGGGAAATTCAGGCAGTTGCGCAGCGCCAGTTGGTAGAGTGAACCCAGGCCCTGGGCCGCCTGTGTGAATGTATGTGAAGCAGGCCCTGGGCTGAATACGGGTACCGGGCCAAACACAGGCCGAAGGCAGTTGGGCACAGGCAACAACTTCAGGCCCAAGGCCTGCTCTCGTCGTGTTGGGCCTCAGGCTACCGGGGCCTACTGGAAGCTTCCTGGGACTGGACGCAGGCAGGCCACTTCGATACAGGGAAGGGCCTGCCTCCTCATTCGGCATTCAAGTGCTGGCTGCATGCTGCACAAGCGCTGCTACTGTGCTATTTGCTGGCTGGCGCCTACGCTCTCACGGGCGAGCAGGCAAGGAGCATGCAGCCATAGCCGAGCTGCGCTGCTGTAAGCTGGGTGAGGCACAGGGTGGTCCTTGGGTGCTAGTGGCATCTGTGAGTTGGGGAACGAGATTGTGAGTGTAGCGCGAGACATACGTGGTGCTAGAAGCGTGCGACATTGGTCGCCATATGCCCGTACTTCGGGAATGTTGTTGATGTCATCTTTCGGCTTCGTAGTATAGGCTAGATAGGATCTCCCACCAGATAGGATATCAACTCTGGTTCTTCGTTGATGATGATGGGACTATTTCAGCATTGTCAATTATGAACTCTTGGTGGGTTCTTATTTGGTGAATCTCGTGATGCAATTCTGTTGTTGGTTCGAGGTCAAGACTATCTGGACTCATATGTATGATGCTGTTTGATTGTTGAAGTTCGCTATTGCTCATCTTCCTTGCAGAAGTTCGAAATAGGAATTAATTCAAATGAATTTAAATTTCAGAAACGGACTAATTAATTAAAGGAATTTCAAGAAAATTTCGGAGGGAATTAGGAGTATATATAAAAGAGATTAATTCTAGAGTATTCAAGGAGTTTCAAAGAGGAAAAGGAAATTCTGATTGATTAATTTCAAAATATTTCAAAGAAATTGCAAAATAATTTCGTAAAAAATAATTATTTTCAAGGTTCAAAAATAATATTTTGGAAGAAATTTTGAAATTGCAGAAAAGCGTGATTATTTCCGAATTAATTTTGAGAATTTATTCAAAAATAGTTGAAGCAATGAAAAAAAAAACAAATTCAAATTTTCGGAAAAGGATTAATAAAAACGTAATCGAATTGCAAAAAGGAGTTCCGAAGAAATTGGGAATAAGAAGTATTCAAAAAAGAGATGAATTATTTAAAGAAATTGTGAAAAAGAAATTCGGAAATAATGAGCTTTCGAAGTATTAACTACTTAGTTTCAACGTATTTCAAAAGAAATTTCGAAGGGGCTGATTGCAGATTGTTACAAAAGTATTTTTGAAAAGATTTTAAGGATTAAAGTAATTAAGAAATTAACTAATATTTGGTTGATGATAAACTAAGTGGGTGGACGGGGAGAATGGGGCGCAGCGGGGGAAGAAGGTTCGCGCGGTGGGGAGGGGAGGAAAAGATTTGGGGGGGACTAAGTCGATATTGCAGCGGGTGAGGGGGAGGGTCGGAGTCGGGGGGGGGCGCTATG